AAATTGTGCCACGTGATACTACTGGAAACCCGGTATAGTCCTTCCTAAAAGTGACTTAATTGATTTTGTTCTAGTCCTTGGACTGGATCAAAATTAATTCACTTCAGGGAATTCTGACCCTGGAATGAATTTGTAATTTTGATCCAGTCCAAGGACTAGAACAAAATCATCTAAGCACTTCGTACTTAGTAATTAAAAAAGCGAACAACAACACTCACTTTATTTTATTTGGATTTCAAATGGGACACTTTAGTTTTTGTATTGATTTATTGTTACAGTACAATTTCCACTTATGTTTATAGGAGCATCTGATGCAAAATTCCAATGAGGTAAAGCATCGCAAGCCTCAGCTGGTAAACTGAAGTCATTCAAAAAATCTAGCTCACCTATGTCAAAAACAGGCAATTCGTTATCAATACACATAGTACTAGTTTCATTTACTTTCAAATCAGAAAAACACTTGTTTGTACTCACTGGTGGATTTACTGAAAGACTCGAAATCTCAATCTCTCGCTCTTTGCTAGTTTCATTAACTTTGTCTTTCGACTCAGAAAAAACGTTATCTGCACTTACTGGCGGATTTAACAGACTTGAAACTTTAATCTCTTGCTCTTTGCTAGTTTTCTCATAACCGAAAAGTGCATTGCTTACATGGCCGCTTCTTCCTCTTATCAGACTGCTTTAGATCGAAGACGCGAACTTTGAAGAGGACGYGAGACCTCACGATCGGAATGGGACGAGTCAAATTTTACTTCCGGTTATGTTCTTGGCGTCCGCGAGTGTGCAAAGACGACGTCTTTTCCCGCCTTTTCCCGCCTTTTCCCGCCCAGTCGAGAACGGTAAGTATTATTGTTGTAAATAGTGGTGAAAACTATCTAGATCTAATTGAATAGACTTTTTTGTCTAAATTCAATTGTAAATTCGATGTAAAATTATTGTTTCACGTCCTCCCTCAATTTGTTGCGCAACAAAGTGCACCCGGTAACTTTTATTTGTAAACATTCATTTTTTTATGCTGAAATTGTTATTAGCTTTTTGAATTTTTGTCCAAGTTGTTTCCTCTTTGCTTTCATTCCAGCTGAGCTAAGTTTGTTGTAGCAAGTAGCAAGGAAAAGATGTCAAATAAAAAGTAAGTTTTTTAACTTAATACAGTTATTTTGGGAGAGAAATTTGAACACTAGAGCAATTTTGCATGCTTTTAGGTCAACAGATTAGCATGCCTGTTTAACCCTTTGACGACGGGTATTTTTTTGTTGATTTTGGAGCTTTTTCGACCCTAACATCTTGATAAAATAATTGACTTCCATATAAGGKGCTGTCAATAAAACTATTTCGGATTTGAATTCCCTAGGGAGCGTTAATTTATGCAGGGTTTTGTAAATTTAGGTCAGACCGTTTGTTTATCGACCGGTTGGGCCTAAATTTGCCCAAAAACCCGTTTATAAGTGTTTTTTTGAGCTTCTTGCTGCCACAGGAGCCCCAAGGCTTGCATCATTAAGCTTGACTAGTCGGCAGAGACAATCTTCTGGAAGAAATCAGAGGTGGAAAGCGGTTTTTCGAAGACAATGGCTCCAAGTCATGCTTTGTTTTGAACTGGAGACACCATTGTAAGATCGCTTTCCTGGTCCATCTGTGGCAGATTTTCCAACCTACCAAGGTAATTTTGGCAATATTTGACAACCAAAGAATGCAATTGGACCAATATTTTGCCTGTAGGTGCGGGGGAGCTCACACTTATAAAATATTTCTTAAAAGAAGAATGCTGGAAGATTTATGTCGAAATTTTGTCTCTTCCCGTCATGCATTTAGGTCGTGCATAGGAGTGTATTGTACTGGGTGCTCAAAAGAGGGCTGTTGAGAGGTCTGCAGTGACTTTGACAGAATAAAAACGGGAAAATGAGGACGTGCTATCAAAGGGGTTTGCAAGTGAAGTGGACTTTTTGCTACAAAACATGTTTTGACGCTAAAAATTGNACACAGAACTTACAAAAACCTCCCATAAGTAAAGGGCTGTACACTAGCCACCTATATTTCTGCAACCATGATGATTGAAATACAAGTTTCTTGGTTTTTTTTTCTTTCCCCTTTGTCACAGTTGTAGAAAAAAAGTTTTGATAAGAAGGAGGTGGAGTGAAATGTCTTTTGATATAATTATTTTTTTCAGGAACCTGGAGAGTCTTTAAATCTACTTTACCACAGACAATGTCTCCTACATCGTAATAGTGCTGAGATACATCTTGATCTGCAACTAGATAAAATCAAAATGCCAAGACACATCAAACATGCACGATTTATTACAGTACACACACAGAATCTTAACGTTGTATTTGGAAGATCCACCTAGTGTTACACATTTGAACAAAAATTTATAGTTTTGCACCATAACATGATAAAACACTAGGACATGCAGATATCGTATTGTGACGCTAGTGATTTAGCTTCCTGRATATCTTCAGCACTAAATTTAGCGTTAAGGAATAAAAGTTTAGGAAGTCCGTTGCAAAACTTTCTCATAGTATATAATGATGTCTTTCATTCCAAGGAAAACTAATTTTGGCAAAGCTAAAATGGGTTGAATCAGCTTTTCTTCATCTTCACTAATCATTACTCTGTTAAACGAAAAATATGCCAATTCCTTGCAATGGCGCACCTGTGTGATATCCTTTATCATAAAACATTCATTTATAAACAAGTATTCTAGCTTTGGTGTGTGGCGCACAAAATCGATATTTAAGATAAATTGGCCACTAAGGTTTACATACACAAGGTTACATGAAGTAKATAGACCACTAATCAAACAATGTGGTGCGCTAACATCTACCTCCCCTCTATATCCTAGCGCGGAGACACTGTGTTCTCGTCAAGTCCTTGATGTCTTTTAAAATAATCAATTTTATCAAAAAATAAGTCCAGATATGGATTCTTTGTCATTTTGTTTCTCAGAAAATGTATAATTTTTGCGGGTTTCCTATTAAATCGCGCGAGATATGATTTTTTTTAAAACACCTCCCGGTAGTGTCCGGGGTAACCTTAATGAAATACAGTGATTTGACGATGCCTGTGTTTATATGAGAGAGTAGAGACCCCGCTTGCTGTTCAGAGACAGGCTTTTATGCTTTGTTCTGACAATCATCACTCACAAATTATGAAACATTTTATGAAAGAAATATAAAATCCTCACTTGCATCTCTGCCCTCATATTTTATTCACAATGCATGTGGACAGCACCATGTTTCACTCCCATGTTTATATAAGAGGAAAAGAGACATGCTTGATCATTTTATAATTGTAAATAGAACATAATGTTTTATAAAATAACTTGGATACTACGCGCGTTCTGATTGGCCGACCGCCGTGTTTGCATCAGAGTATGTAAACATGGTTTTGACGTCACCATTTTTTGTCAAGTGCGATTCAAAACTAGAAGTAGAATAGGAAAAAAATCAGCTATTTATACAAAAATGTATCCGAAGACTTGGCAAAAACTAGTTATGAGNTCCGCCATTTTTTTCACATTTTGTCAAACCTGCCAACTTCGCCTTTCGTTAAAACGTGAACTGTAATTGGCTGGTTGAAAAAGCCATTGAAATGTTTGAGGTAAGGAGAAACCTAGTTTTGATCATAAAAATTATACTCGAATTCTAAAGTTTTTAAAGCCATATTTTAGAAAAAAGAGTTATTTTATAAAAGCAATAGATAACTTTTTCCCTGTGTTTACATAGCCTGATGCAAACACTCGGGCAGGTTGGGAGAATTCTCGATGGTTATGCAAACCCTCGACTTCGTCTCGGGTTTGCATAACCGTCTCGAATTCTCCCAACCTACCCTCGTGTTTGCATCGGGCTATGTAAACACGGAAAAAGTTATCTATTACTTAAATATTACCTGAAGTCACGCAAAAACTGATTGGCACCCATGTTGACAATTCTTTGAATGACCTCATAAAATATTGATTCCTTCAGTTCCTACAATGTACATATAATAATAATTTGTTATTTAGTATTGGGTAAAATAATAATAACAATGAAAGGACATTAATGCTATCTTATTATTTTTTTAACCCACCGAGCAAAAAGTTACATAATAGTTCACAATAGTTCCATAATAATAATGTAGAGTAGGCAATTTTTGTTATTGCTTACCTGTAAATACATGTCATCTTCAAAACACAACAGCCATTTCTCTTGTAAGTCTTTGTCTTCTTTGAGACAATCAATGGCCTTCTCTATCATGTTGGAGCCATGAGCCTTCATTTGTGTACAATTTATCGTTTCGATTCTCTTCCGTTCAAGTGCCATGAAGAACTCAAATRTACAGTCTGTCCTGTGTAATAGTCCCCTCTGTCTATACTGCCTTGACTCGGTGAGGTCCAGGGTGTCAGGATATTTTGAAGAGGATGAAATGGCTTCTATGTTAATGCAGAGTTCGTCTTGGATCAGGGATACTTTGTCCAAGCATACATTCACCTTCTTTAATGTGTCATCATTCTCGGACACATTATATTTTGTTTCACATAACTTCTGGCCTTCTCCATTACTTTTCTCAACGCCCATCCACCGACATAGCGAACCTTTCCTTGCCCATCGCTTGGCATATTCCAAACATTGAACTCATTCATCTCTTGAATTTGCATGCTGGTCACTTTCTCTGCCAAAACTTCCAGAAACTTTGAATAAACACTAAGAACAAGTTGGCATCCAACGGTTGTCTGAAATTGCGTGATGGTAGTGGCATCTGAATCAAATAAATTATAAAGACATGCTTTATAATTCTCACTTTTAAAAAAAGCATGAAGTTCACCGGTAACCGCAGTGAATTCCTGTCTTGAAACTTTCTGGATGGACCCATCGGAATTTTCATTGKTGTATTTGTCCATCACAGTGAATAAATGATGCCAGATGTACTTGGCAAATCCCACCAACTTTTCTTCTATGTCACTTTCGAGCATTTCATAAATGAGAAGGTTCTTATTGTGGCCATTGGTTGTAATTGGTGCATCTTCACGTATCAGAGAACGAAGCAATGTTATCTGGAAGACAAGACAGTTCTGTATCCTCTTCCAATAATTCACTGATGTCAGCTAGATTGATTGAAATTGTAATGTCATTACTTTCGAATATGTTCTCTAGGTATTGATCATCTCCCACCATGTGATACTCGTAGTTGTCATCCAGTGTTTCATCGTCATCATCCATTCTCTTGTCGCTGGCCTGTAAATGGCGTGTCTCGCTTAAGYGCTGCCCTCTACAACAGATAAAGTTTGGATGAAGCTCATCTGCTGTACTCCATTCCTGATTAGTGACCAACTCTGGGACATTTCTCAGGTACTTTGGCTTGAAGTTGATCACCTGGATGTCATTGGCCGACTTCACCCTTGACATTGCAACATATGTCAGGCCAGAAACAAATTCGTTGCTGCWGTGAACAATAACTGCTGGAAGTGTTTGACCCTGTGCTTTGTGACWAGTTATTGCATAAGATGGAATAAGAGGGAACTGGGTCATCGTACCAACTAYGGAGCCATTTTTGTCAACTTTTGACCACGTCCTTCRGGAAATTTTAACTATTCCATCCACTGGAAATTTCACGAGAGCATGTGCCTGATCAAATCCCTCAAAAGTTCCTTGAGATCCATTTTTAAGATTGTCAGATAGATTCCAAAGAAGCATGACTTTRGAACCTATCTTCAACCTTAGGACTCGTTCCSCTGGACAAACAGATGTTCCAGGCAGTTCCCCGTTGATGTCAGCATTGAACTCGATAAATTCGCCTGGCATGCTTCTCATAACATTCAAATTATGAATAGCAGCGTTCAGTTTCAGAAAGAAGATGTGCGTAGCGACGCTCGAGTGAGTTTCGTCAAGGTTTCTTGTCAATGAAGATACGAATGCAAGCGTTGTCTGACGACAATGGCCAGCTCTCACATCACAGAGCGCTTCAAGAAACCTCAGTTYATYATTGTTTTGCCTCATAAGCTTCGTCAGTTCATAACGGTGGGGAAATGCCAAATTAAAWATTCCKRAGGTAAAGGCGTAGTGTCCATCGTCGAATATATTTGGCACTGGCTTTAACTGCCAAAAATCACCCACTAAAATCACTTGCTTCCCGCCAAACGGACGAGTGTTAGTGTCGCGACTAACTGCAATTTCAATTGCGYTCACTAACTCCAAAATCCTGCAACTTGACAAACTTATTTCGTCCCAGATTAACATGTCTGACGAAMGAAGACKCTCTAGCACCATTGAGTTTRACTTCGCTTTGTTCAGCACTTTTTGYCACGGCAAACAGGCCGTGCCAAGCCCGTACGCTGAATGAACAGTTGCAGCAACATGGCGGTCGTAAACAGTGCATGCTAGACCACTCGAACATACCACAGCGACAGTTCTTCCTGCTTTTAKGAAATTCTTTAAAATCGATGATACTAAGAWAGACTTYCCTGTGCCCGCCTGGCCGGTAATTACCAAATTATGGCCTTTTAAAGCACGGTTTAAAATGGTCGCCTGCTCATCGGTCAACCTATAAYAAAGCWTACAAAGTCAAAGGTCAATTTGTCATTTGTCATGCCTCAAGCTCACGCAATTTCTAGTGTGACATAATATTMAACACATGAAACTGACTTCTTTTGCCTACCTCATTTCTTTTCATAATTGGTCTTCAGAATAGAATCTAGAGTGATATTAGAATTTGCGATTTCTTATAGTTTTTAAGACGTGTGATAAAATATTTGCAAGATGTGTGATAAAAAGACCAGCCTGTCCCCGAGGTACATAGTCGGTTACTTGTACTCACGAAAGCGAGGCATTTGAGTGGTCCCTCCCCGGAGTTAGGTTCAATTATGGACACACGAAAGCGAGGCAATTCCGTTGGTGTCTTCGAAGAAAGTACCGTACGATGGTAGGCTGCATTACTTTGATGTTGTGAGCGAAATACCTCGAGAAATAATTCTCACTGGAGGGTGAAATTTTAACCCAAGGAAGAATAGGTATTTGATCGCAAGCTGGACGGCGATTCGGGTTGATTGCCGAAAGAGAAAGTGCGTTTTGACCGCGATGACCAGAGGCAGTTGGCGCTGGCCGTGCTGAACACCCCTGCCTTGTAATTTTTTCTTACGTGGGGGGGAGAAAATATAAAAACAGCTTTAAAATTAAAATTTTATTCAGAAAAAATATCGCAACTACATAAGGATCCATTTTGTGAAGAAAAAAAAACAGAAAAAAAAAATTTTTAAAGCGGTTCGGCCGTGATTCGAACCACTGAACGCTCGCGCCATTAATAAGCCACAAGATACCAGCCTGGGACGCCTGTGGATTTTCCAGTTGTTGAGGACCCATTGGTATGTGGTAATCCATCTGAGTTGTTGTCTGCATCTGGAAAAAAACAAATGAAAAATATTTGAAATACGCCTATTAATTTAGGAGGTACGTAGTTCGTGTGAAAGATAATAATAATGATAAAGAGTTCTTATATAACGAACTATATTAACAATCTCAGATGGTTGATTTAATTGATCCATAGATTGATAATAACCTAATGTATGTTTGCACATAGTGTAAACCAGTTAAAACTTACATCTTGATTTGAAATTGGTGCTGGATTTTCTTGTCGCCGTGGTCCTACTGGTTTCTGGCTGTCCATTTGAGTTGTTGTCTGCTTGTATGTTTGAACGGAAGTAGTAACTGGTTGAGTCTACCTGGAAAAGAAGAAACAGTATTATTTAAACAAAACGATTTCATTATTGTGTGTCTGTACTCTAATCTGGCAACAACAACAAATCATAAGCAAGACAAAATCAAGTGTTGTGACTTGGTTTCATCTAATATAATATTTGTTGAACAACATAATGACAAAATGAGATTAGAGTAATCAAAGCCCAGGTAAGATTCAATGGCACATGTGTGTGCAATATACAATGTAATGCAATATGCAATACAATACAAAACGTTTATCTAGTGTCATAAGTGCATTACAATAATTAGAAAATAAAAACACAAGCAAAATAAAAATAATTAGCTATAATTGTCAATTTTCTATTTTATGGTCAGACAAAAAGACACAAGTATGACATACATGTACACACAGCAACTGACACGGAAAAGCGGACAAAGGAAAAAATGAGTTATTAAATTTTTCTCACAAGAAGCAATAATGCATTCATCAATAATTTGTGCGAAGAGAGTCCTTTTAAATTTAGACTTGTACTGGAATAACAAGTTATGCATATAATATCAATTGTGACTAACCAATAATATCCCGCTTTCAAGTATAGAGATAGTTCATAGAGAGCGTGCGTATATCCAGTTCTACATGCACGCGGGAGGCTGCTAAGCACGAAAAATAGCGTAAGAGTGGCACGACTAAAGCAATTTGGACATTGTCGAAAGTTTTTGTTTTCAAACTAAAAGTGGTTATTCTTACTCGCCGAGGATAAGACAAATTCAAACTTTTCAAAGAAGCAATTGTTGAACAAGGACCCAATGCCTATATTCTGTGGAGTACTTCCTTGGACATCATGGAGGAGCAAATTATTCAGCTGCACCAACTGGTTAAAGTTGAGGGAGTTGAAGGGAAGGCTGACTGACAATAGCAACTGTTGAAGATGAACTTTGCTCGAGTCGTCTTGAAAGGACATCGCTGCAATGATGAAGCTGTGCCGTAGTGACTTAAACTTTGTTCATATCTATGGCCAGATATAGCAATTATGTGTCTGTTGGCGACTCCAGCATCAGGCTTTGCTAATCTCCTTCATCATGTTGTCTAATTTATTTACTCCTAGTGGACAGTTTTCAAACCAAACTTCGTCTGAAGGCTTCCAATTCCTCTTAGGATATTGGAAAAATGACTGACAATCTGGATGGAGCTTTGACATATATAATATCAACGCTTTGTAGCCATCATGCTGGCGATTGCCTTCGTACATCCTTGCGAGTTTTTCATTGCTGCTTTTGTCTTTAAGACCACCAGGATGGTTTTTCGATKCCTCGTCGTGGGCCATAGTGACATATCGGCGGCCTGATGCATCGGTGTCAAACTTAAAGCTGGATCTTGTAAGGCTCCTTTGCCCTTCTCGGCCTCTCCGGCAGAAAAAAAGGATGACATGAAACCATACGTTTCTAAGAAGTGACAAGGGGTTGCTTTGCGATATTGCCGATGGTTCTCTCAATTTACGTAGGTCTTTGACTTCAATAACTGGCTTATGTTGAGTGTTTTCTTTGCCATTTCTTTTCATGTGAACAAGCTGGGCGTTTAACATCTCATTGGACCTTCAAAACTTTGGATCTGCAGCTATCTTGAACCCTCTACTGAATGGCGGCTGATTGAAGTAGCGTTCAATGGCATGTCGGAAGCCAAGTAGCATTTTCTTGCTATACATCTCGCCATGTACTTTCCTCGCCTCCGCATAAAATCTTCGTAAGTTGTTGTCCAGTTGGCCAGTAGTCATTCTTTCTAAAGGAGTTGATATCTGTTTCTCTTTACACCAAGCTAAACACAACAATGTAAGGTAAAAACTTTGTTGTCAAATTTTGAATACTTAGTACATTCAGCCATTTAATGACATTATTATTTTTAAGCATCCTCTAGAATATCAGATGATTGGTCTTCATACTGCTCATACTGGTCCACAGAAGAGATGAACAAACTTCTTACCAAAATGGGCATGCATAGTTGTCAGCCATTCAATATAATGGGTCTCCATTCCCAATATTTGTGTAAATCGAGAAGAGAAAAAGTTGCCGTTGTAATTAATAAGGCCAAAAGGCATGCGGTCCATCGGCATCCTGTAGTTGTTGTCAACTTTAGTGAAACAGTTGGGCAGCTTTAAGATGATGTTGTTTTTCTTTTCTTCAAATAAGGACTTCATGACTTTTATTGATGTCTCAACAAATTCAGCTGTAACAAATTTGTAAAAGTCATATCCTCCAACATCCAATGCAACTTTCTTGTATATGAGATTTAACAGTGTCAATTCCAACTTAGGTGTCAAGCTCTCAAAGCATGATAATAAACTTGTGATTACATCACCAGGACAGGAGTCGTCGGACTGTTTCTTATTAGGTGAACACAAGAAAACTGGTGACATTGAATCATTGACTTGAGAACTAGAGGATTCACCAGGCAGAAAGGTATCTTAGTTATAGTCAATATAATAATAATAATGGAAACTTTATTTGTTTATAGATTCATACAGTTGAAAATCTCACTACGTATAGGCAATTTACAACTGGCTACTTGAATTGATAAAAATATATATATATATATGATATATGTACAGCTGTTTGCAATAATTCTGATCCCCTCTGCCATATTTCATATATATATAATAATAATAATTCTAAAAGGCTTATATAGTTATAATATTTTTTGTAATAACACTACTTATGAAGCTGAAAAGGGCCCATTCTTATGTAATTTTGGTCAGCGAGTCCAATTTTGGGGTGCACTTTCTGCGCAAATCAATGTCAGGGGGGGTAAACAGCATTTAAAATCTTATTTTGACACTGCACGCATCGTTCCGAAGACGCACAAGGAAGTAAACATGACAGTCTGATGCTCTATTGCACTTGAAACGTCTCTGCGAAGAAACCGTCTCAATACAACATCACAAACCTACTCTAAATGCTTACCATTGATTTGACCGAGGAGGACTGGAACCCATAAAGCAAGTAAACAGCCTTAATGACCAGTTTCTCAAACAGAACTTCAATGTACATCTTGACTTTGCTCTCGAGTCCTGAAAATTGACAAATATCAAGCTCAACAGCATTCACATATCAACTGTTTAAGCCATTATGGCTTCATGGCCCTGACTGACCTCACAGTTGACCTATAGTAATTCTAAAAGGCTTATATAGTTATAATATTTTTTGTAATAACACTACTTATGAAGCTGAAAAGGGCCCATTCTTATGTAATTTTGGTCAGCGAGTCCAATTTTGGCGTGCACTTTGTGCGCAAATCAATGTCAGGGGGGGTAAACAGCATTTAAAATCTTATTTTGCCACTGCACGCATCGTTCCGAAGACGCACA